CCAAGGTCACACAGCCTCACTGGGATTTGAACTTGGAACGGCTGGATTGAGGGGTCCTGCTCTTAACAGTTATTCTGTTTACTAAGGAGAAAAGGAGGCGGAGAGTGGGAACAAAGGGAAGAGAAGGCACAGCTGCCACCTTCAGCCTTCAACCGTTTCCATTTCTGCACCCAGCTTGTCTCCTAAGAAATACACACAGGGGAGAAGAAGGTGGTGACCCATGAAGTATAGGGGGAAAGTGCACCTCCTCACTGACCTGTGAGGGTTTGCTGACCGAAGTAATAAAAGGCAGGTTAAGCAAGAGGAAAGGGATACAGATTTATTAACATTCAGAAGGAACAAAATCATAGCGCAGGAAAACCTCACAGGGGTGACCCCTCACTTATTAGCACAGTCCAGAAACCTGCACTGTGCCTGTTCCTCAGAAGATGGAGGATGGGAATGCAGACAGTTTCCAGCAGGGTAGTAAATGTCAGTTCAGGGAACCTCGATGGGCTGGGATAACATACAAAGTCCCTTGCTAAGGGATCAGAGAATGGGATGTAAATCATTCTGGATGGGGTCAAAATAAGGGACAACGCTGTGTGAAAGGTCGTCCCAGCTGTGCTGACAGACATCCATCTTCTTTGTGTAACCTGAGTTGATTCTTCTTCCATTAGGACATTTCAGCACAAAGACTGAAAAGCAATCACATTCTTTGAATGGATCCTGCCAAGTCCATTAGAACTTTCAAGAGAGCCTTTCCCAAGATTCCTGGAGCCCCCTAGGTGACAGCACGTGGGCAGGGAGCAGAATCTACCTTTCATGTGAACACTGTGTGACTGGTGGGTCCTCACCCACACAGGATATCCTCCTCCACTGCTCCCTGGCATCACCAATAAGTGACTACAGGGACTTGGGCCAGAAGGGATTAGGATCACAGAATCACTTGATTTTCTTTGCTAACATTCCTTGGGAAAGTGAGTTTCTTTGTCTCAGTAGAGGATGCGGAAAGGACAGCAACTTCCGGCTTTCTGCACCACCACCTTCAACTGCCCACTGTAGGCACAACTAAGCCAGGGTGCAGTGGGCTCTCTGTTCCTGGCCAGATGACCCTTTGGCTCCGCCTGCCCCATTGTCTAGTCTATTTTACTTCGCAATATGCTCTTATCCTGCCATCTCTGGTATTACACCCAGAATTAAATTTTTCTTAAGGTAAGAGTGATTAGCACAAAACCCTTTGCTTTATAACATTGTGTTAGGAGTTGAATTTTAGGAATGATAATGAGTACAAAAAGCATTAGAGGGTTTCAGGAACAAATCTCTGTAGAGTTAACAACAAATCTTAAAGAATTGCATGTTCGTGGCAAGGCTTATGTTCCCAGATACCTATTGTAGAACATAAACCATTCCAAAATTTAGTGACTAAACCCAAGTGGATGTGTCATTTTATCATTCTTCTTTCTTCTCCTGTGATTAACATATTCAGAAAGTCCTAGGAGCGCTTCTTACTGGCCCCAGGCTTTGCAAGGCTTTGGAACTCCAGTACAGAGCCCAGAGGGAAAGATGTAGGGAGCAGTTCCCTTGGCTTCCTCTGCTTCTTTAGTTTCTGTGAACAAGGACTTCTTTTCTGCAGACTCATCGCTCCAGGATTCCTATCACTGTCGTGGTGGTAAACCCAAGAAGGCCAGGATGACTGTGCGAGCACTGAGCTGCCTCTGGCTTAAGACTCACTGTAAAGAGCTAAGGAAGACCTCTGTGGTTCACAGTGGGAAACCACATGCATCTTTGGACCAAAGCCCCAGCCCATAATAAAGTAGATGTTTTCCTGAAGTGACCTCTGCTTACAGGACTTAATACCTGAAGCAATGACAGGCAGCTGGTGGCCAGCAAAGGAATCAAAGCTTGCTGCCCTTAGCATTTCATCGAAGTCTACTCTTAGGTACAATCTTCTACGCCCTGGAGGCCCCCATCCATAGATCCTCATCTATTGATTATAAGGTTGTTCAACAAAGCAGGTTGCAGCATGACATCAAAATACCCCCTAGTGAATTGATCGCGTCTACACACAGTTTCCAAAGGACACACTCTAAATCCACAAAAACGATTACCTCTGAGGAGAGGGGAAAGGAAATGGAATGGAAATGAGGATCCAACGGCCTTAGCTTTATCCGCAATTGCCCTGCGAAAGAAGAGTGGATTTGAATCATAACAGATTATTTCCCAGAGCGGCTGGCACAGTCTCTGCCATGCTGCTTTGATGCTGCTGTTCTTCTCATAAATTCATGGAGTCTATTCCTCATCCTCTTAAATCTGAGCATGGCCTGTGTGTGACCTCCTCGGTCCATAACATGTGGTGGAAGGGACAACCAAAGATTTCCAGCATCTAGTCTCAAGAGGTCCTACTTCTATTCCCTTGGAATGCTGAGCCCCATAAAAAATCTCATTTCCTGCCTAGAAAGACCATGTGGAGAGTTTGTGTTGGGTACAAGATGGAGGAGTTAGGCCAGCGGAGGACCAGACCCGCATGAGGCCATGTTGGATTCCCCAGTCCAAGCTACAGCTGAGTGAACCTGCTCAGTGGAGATGACTCAACCAGCTGAACCCTGTCACTCCAGAATCACGAGGAAGGGAAACTACTGTCACTTAAGCCCCTGAGCTGCAGGATATTTGTTACTTAGAAATTGATTACTAATTTGTGATTTGTGCTACTCAAAACTAGTTTAAAAAAATAAACTCATAAACAAGTCTGTCTTCTTATTTAGGGGGCATTTCTCCTCTCTCCACCCCCCAGCCATGTCTCTAATATATCATGTCTCTAACACCCCTAAGCATCTAGCTCAACAGCATCCAACAGTGCAATGCAAGGTCAGTGCAACTCAGTGCAGAATCAGGGCAAGGGATTCTAATATGCAGTCACAAACCTTGCAATGTGTGTATGAAGTCATGACATTGATGAAGGCGGGGTTGGAGAAGCCCTTGAGTCACAGACAACTCCAGCAATGAAGGAGATGCTGCAGCTGGAATAGTTAACATTTTGAAGCACAAATCCTCATGGAGATGGCACAAGGGGAAAGATTTCAACGTCAAAATTTCAGAGAGGCTCTCAGAAAATTGATGAAACCCTCATATATATTTGGTACCGGGGATTGAACTCATGACCATACACTTGCAAGGCAGGTGCTTACACTGCTGAGCTAAATCCCTGGTAGCCCTCAAATATTTTTGAAATGATGACACTTTCTATGATTTTCACATAGAAAAATCAAATACAAAAGGACATGAGATCATGATACTGTGCAATTTTATAGAACATTATACTTCTCCAAATCAACACCTCATTGATTCATCTTTTGTTCTAATAGTTAACATATCACTGCCCAACTAAATTTTGTGAAATGTATGGCAAATTAATTTTAATAATTCTTTTGCTCTTTTTTAAAAAAAAGATAAAATCCCATTCAAATCTCTTCATGTACTTTTGGCCTCTAATTTTGAGGAATTCACTGTAAGTGGCTTTGGGGGTGCTAGTTACCTGAGGAATGTGGGCACCTCTACAAATGTCTTTAACTCACCTTCCTCACTAGCAGGGGTACTCATTGAGGGCAGTGTCCAGGCTAGTGCTTTGTGAAAATTCTCCGGACCCTGCATATTGCAGAGGATAGGAATTCAATAAATGTGACACCAAAGGACCTGTTGATTGATGAGCTTACATAGAGATGTTGCCACTGAAGAATGACACTGTCCCATGATCAATCTCTGATGCAATATGAGCTGGAATTTGTTCATAGAAGGCCTGCCGCAAATTTTCTGGTGAAAGTGCATTCGAAGGCCGGACACATTCAAAACCAATCCAAGCATGGACAGTTGTTTTCAGAAATAAGTCACATCCCAAGGGGTCTGATAAGGAGGGCTGCCTCTGAGGATGGGTGCGCCGCTTCACCGAGCAGGAGGACTTGGAAACGTCAAATCTGAGAGGCACTCACCTGTCCGCAGCCAGTTACACTCTGGGCGTGCCTCAGTGAACATCAGGCAGGAAGAGGCATCTGAGGAAAATCTCTCAGCACAGGTTGAAAATCAGTTAAAACAAGCCAGCATGGCAGGCATGGTAGCGTGGTAAGTCAACACGGATAGAAGACAGGTGTCTCCTGTCAGTCTTACCTCTCATAAAACCAAAGCAGGACAAACAAATAAATAAAAGTCTGTAGTTAAAATAAGTGGTCATTCAAAAAAGTTTCCATCTCTGAATGTTCAGTTGGGAAGAGGAATTAGGAGGAAGAGGAAAGAGGGAGTGGAAGAAAGAGAGACAACAACAAAAAAATAGAAAGGAAAACCTGGAGACAAAGCTTTCATAAATATGGAGGGGAGGAGAAGTTGACGGGAGGGACAGGGATTGGGGGGAAAGGAAAAATCCAGGCACATTAGGTATAAGTTCAAAGGCCGGGCCTGTGTGCATGTGGTCATTATGTCTATCTAAAGTCGACCAATAGAATTAATTTTTCAAACATCAACAATATCACTTATTAAAAACTGTCCCAGCTTTTCTGTGGAAACAGTGCCTAGCGTCATTTTTTTAACAGCCCTGCAGTGTGGCCCTTTCAATGTGTTCTGCATCCCTGTTCCATGCATAAGCCGGCAATCAGAAGCGAGCTGTTTCCACCTCACTCTGAGTTATTTCTTTCCATTCCTCTGGGAATGAGAAGCTAACACACAAACCCGCTGTGCAGATCCCTGAACTCTGCCCCTCCCAGGAGGGCCCAGCGTGTTCTGCAACCTATCAGTCCGTTCCGGGGCAAACGCAAACAATACTTTCCGTTTCCATAACTTGTATCCAGGAAAAAAAACAGACTCTAAAGCAAGTGTAGCAGCCAGAGAAAAGTTTACTGGCTCCGGCCAATTGCAGCCGGTGGAGCTGGGCCAAGTTAGCATGTTTCCCTCGGCCTCTGGATGAAGTCATGACTGAAATATGGCATTGAACTTATTTTAAAAAGGGAAGGGGAATCGGAAAGGCAGCCGAGCGCTCCGTGCGGCGCAGAACGCGGTGAGGAAATGTGTGCAGGCTTGGAACGCTGAGTGGTTCTCATTCCTGTGACCTTCACCTCCCTCTGGGTGGAGCACGGCCTTTAAGAGCAGTTGGAATGCAGCTCCCCTGATCAGCTTAGCCAGTTGTTGCCTGTCTGAACCCCTGCCAGTCCTGAGAAGCCGTGCTCAGGGCTGAACTTACAGGCCTGCTTCTGCAGCCTGTCCTCTGCTCCTGTGGCCTTCCCTTCCCGGGAAGGAAGGCCGTGTCCACCTGTCCAGCCATGGGAGAGGACGAAAGGTTCCAGCACCCGAGCTCCGACCTGCGCCCAGAGAAGCTCTCGAGCCCCAGCCCCATGCCCTCCTCCACGCCGAGCCCCAGCCTGAACCTGGGGTGCACGGACGAGGCCATCCGGGACAACTCGCAGGTGAACGCCGTCACGGTACACACGCTACTGGACAAGCTGGTGACCATGCTGGACACCGTGCAGGAGAACCAGCACAAGATGGAGCAGCGGCAGATAAGCCTGGAGGGCTCGGTGAAGGGCATCCAGAACGACCTCTCCAAGCTCTCCAAATACCAGGAGTCCACCAGCAGCACCGTTGGCAAGCTGCTGGAGAAGTCGCGCAAGGTGAGCGCGCATACGCGCGCCGTCCGGGAGCGCATGGACAGGCAGAGTGCGCAGGTGAGGCGGCTGGAGAACAACCACGCCCAGCTCCTGCGGCGCAACCACTTCAAAGTGCTCATCTTCCAGGTGGGTGTCTCGGCGCCTGCCACAGGCATGGTCTCGCACTCCACTTCACATCTGCCCTGTCTATCACTGGACCGCACACACTGGGCATTGTACCCTGTCTGCCTGCGGCAGGCAAGCGTGAAATCCACACACAGCTGTGGGAATTTCCCGGCCACTGCGGCCTCCACCAAGGCAAACGCCCCTGGGGTGGCAGACCTGGCTCCTCCCTCAGTGAGCACCTGTGTGCTCTGCTGCAGGTGGGGGACCTGCAGGTGCAGGCTCCCCCCCTACTGAAGTGCATTGTCTCTTTGCATTAGGAACTCGGGGCTCTGGCTGAAACTATTAGCCAGATGGGGCTGCAAATTAATTCAGTAGCTTTTTATTAACTCTTTGCAGAAATGAGATAATCATAGGCATGTTTTGTTTTGTTTTGTTTTGTCTTAACCAAGAAGTCAGGCTCATAACTGCTTCAACTATGCCTTTTTGCAAAAGGCCACTGATGTTTGGGGACCAGCCAAATGGAGGATTGATTCCATTAGAGTTGAATTAGCCCTGTTCTTTTAAGACCCTTTTGGGCCAAGCCATCTTCCCGGGTTCTTTTCTAGCAAATGATGCACTAAAAATGCAGAGCATAACTCTTCACAAACATGCTCGCTATGCCTCTCGTTGTGAAGAGAGACCAAAACTGTTAAGGAAAATCGAAGGAGTGTTATCAGTTACAGTCACAAAGGCTGGTCTTGAATGTTTTGCCCTTCAAAAGGTTGCCTCGGAATAAAAAGGCCACTTAATTTTTTTTAATGCATCAATGATGCAATTAATGTAGCAAGAGGCTATTTGGGGACAGGGAGACTTGGGGAGGCTGTTGTTCCGCCAAGTGGTGGGCATTTGTGATTCCAAGGACAGCCCTGCTTGATGCTGGAAACCCTTCCGGCCGGGAGGAACCCAGCTGGCACAGAGCCCAGGAAGCGACCACCATCCTGCCGCAGGGCTGTCTCCTCAGGATGCATGAATAGGGGAGAATTTCAAAGCCGTGGAGGGGAGAGGCTCTATCCCAGTGTTCCATTGTGAAAGGCGCACAGGGCAAGCCTTCATCTCCCCAGAGAGACTTAGAGATCAGGATTTAAATCAAGGCAGCCTTCTTTTTCTAAATGAACCCGCTCTGCCAAGTTGGAAGCAGAGCCTTCCTTTCTCCATAAAAGGAAAGACTCATCACGCTGCTGTCCTGTCTTCCCGTCCCACTTGAGTGTGAGGAAGGTTTGGGCAGCCAGCATTCTCCTCTACGTTACAGGCTTGGCAGCCAGGAAACTTTTTAGCCTTTAATGCACATGCAGTAGGTTTTCATGCACCAGATTTGCTGGAAACAGATACGGGAAGCCTTATGAGAGCCTTACCTTATTAGCCTAAAAGATATTAGAAATCTCAGCTCTCGAGCCATTTCTCAATTAAATAATGATCTCCAAACAAAGCCAAGCATGCACAGACCTGTTTAAATCTGAAGTCGCCAAAGGAAATTTCTCTCCTTTCAGTATAAAATCAGGGAGATTACCTCTTGTCGCATCCTTCAGTTAAGGAAAGAGAAAAATGCATTTATCTCATCAAGGAAGCTCACAGTTTGTTAGGGTTGGGTTTCACTTTGTTTCGCCACGGATGTTCTGCAGATGTTGGGGGCGGGATGAGGAAGATGTGTGACAAGAACTCGAGAGAACAGTGAATCTGACATTTAAAAAAAAACTGTAGGGGAACTTGTAGGCAGGTGCTGTTGTGGAGGGTCTGGCGTGGTCACCTGTTTCATCGCGTGGTTGACAGGTGTGAAATTGCAGCCAGAAATGGTGGGAATTCTCCACATAGTGAGAAAAAGCTGAACTGATGCTCACATCAGAGGAAGCTAAGAGAATCCCAAGCAAGGTGTTCAGTCTCTACCCTCACCGTCAGCCCCCCGGGACACCTGAAAGAAGCATATCAGGAGGCAGCGAATTAGAAGCAGGGAGCTGGGTCACCCTTGAGTCATAGGAGAGCCTTTATTGACTGCAGGAGATGAGAAATCTTAGCTTTCAAGTCATTTGCTCGATGACTGTTTAGAAAAACAGACATCCCCAGTGGAAAGGTTGCTGTTTCTCTTGCCCTTTCTCACCATAGGGTTTTCGGGAGGGTAGTGATCATGCCCATGGGTGAAAGTAAGTTCTGTTAGAGAGCGACCCATGCAACACACTGGTTGTATGGATAAATGTTGGGGTCACACGGATTCTGGTTCAAATCCTAGGTTCGTTACTCGCCAACTGTGTGACCCTGGACGTACTGTATAGCTTGGTCAATCTGTCTCCTCAGCTATACACTGAAGATATTAATAAGGACAGAAAAGTTGTGCACTTAAGCTCTACATACATTGTTGAGCTGCTTTCTGTACATTAACTCCTGCAGCCCCAATTTACAGATGAGGATGCTGAAATTCGGAGATGTTTATAAGCTGCCTGCCTAAACCTATTTAATAATCAAGTGGGGAAGCTGGGATTCAGATTCATGTTTAATTGGTCTCTGAGTATGTGCTCTTATACACTAACACCTCCTCTTTTCTCTCTCTTTAGTGGGTGAAAAACAAAGGCAGTCACATTTAAAACAGGACAGCCTGGCCTGGTACAAGTGCCGACTGGACAAAAGCTAGATCTGAGATGGTTTGCTCAGAAGGGAGGCCACATTTTTACCTGGATAGGAATATAGGAGTGCCTCAGTTCACAAACTTAACTCTCTCCACAATTCTTCCTGCAAACCCAATTGGACAAGAACTGAGTCAAATTCCCCATAAAGTAACATTGAACCTAACCACTGGATTTGATTGAATTAATGGAAAGAATTAAGTTTATGAACTGAAGTATCACTGTATAGGTCATGGGCCAGAATGGACCCCACCCTTCCCAGGATCTTCAATCAGCTGTGCCTACTAAGATTAAAACATACCACCAGCACCATACATCATATGTGTACTACCATGTGGAAATTAGCATTGTGTCACATCCTCATGAAAGGAAAGGGCTCTGCCCAAGAGACTCTTCCAGCAGCAGCCCAACCTTCGTGGTAGGACACAAGGCCCTGTTCCCAGGCCTTTGGGAGTGGGGAGGCCAGAGAGTCTGTCAGGAAGCCCTCTGCACCTTTAAATAGTCGCTTCCACTCCACTTGAAGGCTGTGCCAGCATCCCCCTCACTAAAATCCATTGATTTTCTATTTTAAGACAAGAAAATTATGTGGTAATTAGAAAAAAAGAAAAACTGTTCCCTGTCTTGGGCATACACAGTACTACAGCACTGAGAAAACTATATTTCCAGTTTGTGAGTCTTCTTGTGTCTTCTGAAATCTAAAGGTGTGTGTGCGTGGGAGCTGTGTGTGTGTGTGTGTGTGTGTGTGTGTGTGTGTATCTGTATGTGTGTGTTTGCGTGTGTGAGTTGGTTCGTTGGCTGATTGGTTGGCTAGATAGTTACATATTTGCATTTTTTATTCCAAAATGTAGTTTTTAATTTGTTCTTAATTTGTCCTTCTTGAAACATGTCATTTATTTATTTATTGAAATGTGTGCTGAACTTAACCACATTGTTGTAGCGTAAAGCATCTAATTCCTTAGCTATTTCATCAAATTATACCCAGTAGCATCTAAAACTGGGGAAACATTCATCTCCCTTTCAACAGTTTAATAAATTTTTTGAGTCCTAATTAAACTCACCAGCTTTCCCTTTTAAGTTTTTTAGTGAGAGCTTCAGATCCATGTTTGAATTCAAAACGCTGTGACGTGACCCAGCCTAAATGAAATAAGACTCACAGGCATTGCTCATCAAAAAGAAAGCGCTAAAGGAAGACAAGTACTATTATTCTGCCTGTGCACATGGCTATCTTTTACTTAAAATGGAATCTGTGGGGCTGGGGATTTAGCTCAGCAGCATAAGCACCTGCTTTGCAGGAGTGCAGTCATGAGTTCGATCTCTGGTACCCAAAAAAAGGGGAGGATTCATGGAGAATATCGGTGAATTTAAAGCTCAGAGTAGATTTTCTGTGGTGGTTGAAGAGCTTTAAATTTCTCCAGAAAGTATGGTATCTGTCACTTACGCCCTCTTAGGCTGTAGTAAAGATTATTTGTAAAAGCAATTCAGGAATCATTTCAGAACCAGACACTAAAATGAGAGTCCTCATGACCTACTCACACTTCCCTCCACATAAAAATTATGAAATTGGGCAAAAACGTGGAAAGGTTAGATATCTGCACTGGGTCCGTCAGTGTGCTCAGATGTTCATCATTGGCTTCCTTCGATGAAATCAGAATTTTAGCAAGTGCTAAAAGTGTAATCTCTTTGGAATATTTTTAAATTGATGTTTAAAAGACTCTTCTTTTGTTTTTCAAAGCCTCTACTTTAAAAACTGTGAAATTGCATGGGCTTGACAGAAAAACAGAGAGTAAATGATCGTAGATGTCTTCATAGGCCAGCTGGCCACATCAGCATCACATTGGTTAATTCTGCCCTGCCGGGATATCTGTCTTGATGTGTTACTCACCCAGTGTCCTTTTAGGTTATGAGAATAAACAAAACACCAGCTCTTCTGGTTACTATTTACATTTATTGAATGTTAGCATCACCCCGGGCACTTTGAGTGAATAACTGATCATTGTTGGTATTTCTTTGAAAAAAATCATTACCTTGTCTCACATATTAAAAACCCCATATCCCTGTCAGATGCCTTTCCAGCCAAGGTTTCCCCTTCTATTAGGTTATCATCTATCTCTATTTGAACTCAGTGAATGAAAAATGTTCTCCAACGCAACCTGGGACCTATAGCTTTGATCCTTGCATGAAAGAAAATGCTTTTAACAAGAGTACATTATGGCATCGCTGCAGATTGTTAAATTTTTTTGTAGGGTTTAAGTTACTGTCACACAATCAAATATTTTAGAGGTGGAATTCACGTTAATAATCATTTAATTTAACTTTCTTTTATATCAAAGAAGCAGGGGCCCTGAGAAACCAAGTGACAGCCAGTTTCTTCTTTTATTAATAATAGAAATTACAGAATGGAATCATAAAGTGAGTATAAACAAACAGCATAATCCCACGGCAGGAAAGTTCATGTTCCCTGGGTTTTCTGTATCGCACGTTAAATAATTCAGTGTGACTCGGTTTTTGTTTTGTTTTGTGTTTTCTATGTGTAACAAAGAACACCTAACCAAAGTGATCTTAAAAAAAAAATTGAACCCTTGATAACACTGAAAAGTAATGAAACTTTTAAATCCTCCAGCATGTGAAAGACTGCTCAGGGATTATAACTAATGCATTTTATTCTTATGACTTGCTGATTCCACAGCTGCCTGGGGGTGCAGTGCTAATCAATGGACTCAGCCATTTGACAATCTATACTCCAGAAACACAAGCTGGAGAAAATCACCAACGTGTCAAAGAGACCTATAAATCAGAGTGTCAGGGGGACACAGTTCCATTTCAGTAACCAGCGTTTGGAGTGGTTGCATAAAGCATCCCGTGGACCCACACTTAGGGTCTTCATAAACCTCCAAGATGTTCCTAAATCCCTGCAGGATTGGGATAACCTGTGACATTTTTGTCTAGCAACAAGAATGATAAGTTAATGGAAGGAAAGCAAACTGCTGGCTTCTCTCTCCTTAGCCAAGCACATAAGTGAGTTAAAGTTGATTTCCTTTTGTAACACTAGTCATGGAGTCTTTTTCTAAAAAAAAAAGCTGCATCACTGTATTTGTCCAGAGAAGAGTCATGTCACATGAAGTGCTCGGCACGGTGGCAGGTGTCTCTGTGTTTCTGTTTCTATGCATGCCTGGAACTATAAGTTCACAGGAACCAATATAAACAGCAAACAAGCTGAGACGCAGGGGAAAAGCTGCTTCTCCAGAGTTCTTTCCGCACCTTCTCTCTTTGATGCTGCAAGCATATCTGTCATATATGTTTAAAGTGTGTGCTTACTTCTTCCCTCCTTTGAGGCACTTCCGAGACTCCTTGTGAAAGGTCAGAACCAGGAACAGCTGTAGTGGTGGAGGCTGAAGACTTTTTGAAATCAAAGACAACTGCCCAAGGAAACTGTGCAGCTTGCAGGGACTCCTAGCGCTGTTTGCAAGAGCCACAAACCCTAAGTAGACAAAGGGGCATGGAGTGGGGTGAGCAGTGGCAGAGGCGGGGATGTATGCTCGACCTTTCCCCAAGAGAGCTGCCAGTCTCGGACTCTGTGAGACCAAGTGGATCAAGAGCTCAGCCACGGGATGCTGAAAGCAGGAGTGTCACCTCCCTCATAGGTGTACAATATCAAGATGTGTGTGTGTGTGTGTGTGTGTGTGTGTGTGTGTGAAAGAGAGAGAGAGAGAGAGCGATGCATACAAAGGCAGGCATGCAGGTGAGATTTGGCACTTGGGGAGAGGCTAGATCTAGAGGATCCATTATCCGGGCCTCAACTTGAATTTCTACCACCATGACACATCTTCATATTCAAATGCCAGGCTTAGGTCCTGCAAAAGAAAAGAGATCTTGAACAGCATCTGTATTTTTCTGTTTCTAAACAAACACCATGGAGAGGTAAAGCCTCCACATGTTTGGCAGTCACACATTCCTTTGTGAAAAGGAAAGGCCACCAGAAGCCATGACATCAACTCTGTCCAGTAGACAGGACATAAAATGGTGCTTTGGGTAATCCAAGTGACAGCAGCAGCCCAGCACTTAGCCAAGAAGATAGATCTCACACGTTTCCAGTTGTGTAAAGATACATCCTGCCCAGTCTGCATTACCTCTGTTCCTGCTCTATTCATTTCCGAGGTTGGCAACCAGGACTCTCATCTAAATATACCTGGCATTTTGCAAGAGTTCTCTTAGGGGGCTGGGGATTTAGTTCAGTGGCATAAGCGCCTGCCTTGCAAGCAGGCAGTCATGAGTTCGATCCCTGGTACCGATAAAAAAGAAAAAGACAAAAAAAAAAAAGTGTTTTCTCCTGCATTTCCCACCTTCCCACAGCAGCTCCCAACCCTCACCTGCCATTGTACCTACCACAGGTCACCTCTGTTCACGGTCCTCCAAGGACAGGTAGCAGGAGAGACAAAAATGTCCTAAGACTGAACAGCAACCATCCTTTGGAAATAGTAAAAATTCACCTTGAGGGAAACAGCCTCAGTTTAATCCTTTTAGAAGCACAGTTGATAGAGCTACGTTTTGTGAGAGTGAAGAAAGGGAAATTACCAACTTTTTTATTTTTAATTACCCTGAGAGTTACACTTTACAAAATGCACCTCTTCTCTGGTAACAAGGCCCTGTTTTTACAGTTTTCTGCCTCTATTTCTACTTTCCTCACTGAGGCCTCTTAATAACATTTCACTCAACCTTTGGTTTCTTCTTTTCCTGCAAGCAACATGCATCAAACTTTCATGACCTTCCCATCAAGCCCCAGGAGGAGGTTACTCTGGACTAAGCACCAGAGTCCAGCTAGTTCCAAAGTCCGCCTTTCTTTAGGGATACTCATCTTTGGGGAATGAAACTCTTCCTCTAGAAATCACTGCCCTCTCGGGCCTTGAGTTTTCCCGATTTCCCAGGGGCCCCAGCATTCAGCAAACCTCCTTCCACATATAGAACTCGGCACATTCTTTGATAGCGCTCAAGCCTTCCTGGCAAGAAGCAATCTCCATTCCAGCCACCCCTGCCCAGCATTGCTCAGGTACTGTGGGGCTGCAGGTGTGAAGCTTCAGTGGAGACAGAAGCTCGTGTCCTCACGGGTTTCCATTCTAGTGACACAGCAGCAGCCTCGGCCTAAAGCAAGACAAAGCTGCTCTCTGCCCCTCACCAGTGACCCCTGGTGGCCCTGTGCTCCTTTCCCTGTTCTGCTCTGTCTTCCATGTTCCTAACCCTGTGATATCCAGAGGTGTCAGAGGAGGGTGTGCAGAGACCTCGGGAAGCACAATGTGTAACAGCTTCACTCTAGGACGGATTCACTTGGCCCCACCCTTCAGTGTTTCACCTCCGATGGAGACCTTCTTTCTCCTTGGTGTCTAACCAATTCCTGGAAAGGATTCGATAGGAGTATGGGTGTGGGGGAAACACAGGTGACCTTCAGAGCTCAACAACCATGGGCATTGGATGGGTGGGTAAGCAGAAGGGTTTTAAAAGCTTCTTTATCACATCAAGAATGTGTTCATTTAGACTTTCAGTCAAGAAATCAAAAATACAGTCACGCTCTTACAGCATTTTAAAAATAATAATCCAGTTTGGCTGACTTTCCATCAATCAATCAAAATTGCACCATGACGAAGGAAGTTCTTACCGTTAACATGAACTTCGCATGAGGTTTGGGTCTCACGGACTTCTCGGTGCACCAAAGCTGGTTAGTTTTCAGACTGAAAGTGTACTGGGCAGCCCGACATGTGCCCGGGTTACCTTCTGGCTTGATTCCAGCAGGGTGGCTGGGTGCTGGGGAGCAGGGCCCCTCTGCCAAATGTGCCAAGCCCTCCCATCCCTCGAGTGCAGCTGGGAAGCTGCTCATTTGGGTCAAATCCTCCAGTTCAGACCTGGCAGAGGCTGAGACTCAAAGAGGTGAAGCTGTTTGCTGAAGCTTCCCAGCCAGTTAGACTCAGGCCTCCTGCCACACATTTGACTGTGCTGCTCCTCCCAGGGGCAGTGTGCAGGCACCTTGTGGACAGGATGGGACTCTTACGCTATGTGGCCCAAGTCCTTGGGGATTCAAATGTCCCCCAGGAGCCATTCCGCAGGGCTGTCCCTTTTGCAGCCTGGAAGCAAGTTCTTGGGCTCAGCCCAGGACACCTTTGCCTGTGTGAGGAGGGGCTATAGAGAGGTCAGGGGACAGGAAAGAGGCAGAGCAGCTTCCTGAGTTTGTCACTCTCTGCTGGAGGTAGTGGTCAAAGCAAGCATCCCTAGGGAACCTCCGTCAACAATAGAGGCTTCCTATGCTGTGCCTGCTAGAACCATCCCTCTCACTGCTCCAGGAATGACTCTAACATCTCACTCCTCTTGTTAACTCCCCCAGAGGATATCCTAAAAGTCAAGTGAGCAGCCCCCTAGGAAGGCTCGCCCTTGCTCCTCAAATGCTAAGTGTCATCAGCAAGCTAAGATGTGCCTCCAGGCTGCAGTAAGAATGACCAAACCTTTACTGGCCGTCTAGTTGGAGAAGGAACCTCACCAAGGCTGTCTGTGCACCTGCCCTTGTAGACTTCTCAGGTTTCTGTCCTGCCCCCGTCTCTGATCATCCAGCAGGACAGCCAGGCTCTCTTGCAGTGAGACCGGGGCAGGATCTGAGCCCTCTGACCTGGAGGGAGGATAGGAAAGACGGGCCCCTGGGGTCACAGCGGAGTAACTTACTTTAGCTCTTTATCGAAGCAGCTTCCTGGTCTATCTGAGTCACAGCCCACTTCCCCGCCTGCTGTCACTGATAGAGCCTTGGCCAGCTTCCCGCTTGATATTCCCAACAGGCAGGCACTGGCTTTGGTTCAGGCTGAAGGGGGACGACTTGCCCAGTGTAGAATGGAAACCAAAGCTGCAGCTGTGTCTTACCACTGTCCTTTGGCAGAACAGTGACACAAACCACAGCAGGCCAGGCCTCTTTGTGAAACATGCCGTTTAACACGAAACCCGCATGGCATCTTTTCAGGAGGAGCACGAGATCCCCGCCAGTGTGTTCGTGAAGGAGCCGGCCTCGGGCACCGTGGAAGGCAAGGGTGAGCTGGAGGGCGAGAGCCAGTCCCTGGAGGACGCGCTGCACACAGTGGACCTCTCCTCGGAGGACGAGCTGCCCCACAATGAGGCGGCCCAGGACGACAGTGGCGAGGACAAGACAGAAGAGAGTAGGGCGGAGAAACTGAAACGTTCCAGCCTCCGGAAAGTGGACAGCCTCAAGAAAGCCTTTTCCCGCCAGAACATTGAGAAGAAGATGACCAAGCTGGGCACAAAGATCGTCTCCGTAGAAAGGAGAGAGAAGATTAAGAAATCTCTCACTCCCAATGCTCAGAAGACAGCCTCTGGGGGGAAAAGTTCTCCCTTCAAGGTTTCCCCCCTCAGTTTTGGGCGAAAAAAGGTGCGAGAGGGGGAAAGCCCAGTGGAGAATGAGACCAAGTCAGAAGAGACGGCGTCCAACGACCCAGAGGAGGGCTCCTTGGCAGAGGGTGTTTCTGCAGCATCGCTGCCCAGTGCGCTGGCCGAGGGGGAGGCAGAGAAGCTGGCCCCAAGAAGGAGCAGCTCGGGGATGGACAGCAACGTGGACCTGACCATTGTGGAAGATGAGGAAGAGGAGCCAGCAGCTCTGGAACAGGCCCAGAATACACACTACGAGGACAGTCACCTGTCGGCCGCAGAACGGGCGGCCGCACTGCAGGTGGACCAGAGCGCCTGAGCACGGCCGGACCCAGCAGACCCTCCTGTCCCCAGCACTGCTGCGCACTGTCACTTATGGGCACGAGCTCTGGCCTCCTCCCAGCAACACACGTGGGCACAAGACTAACAGGACAGTCTGTCAAGGGCTCCACTTCTTAGTGGGGTCCTGTCTGCAGAATTCCTCCAAGACTCCCGAGAAGAAGGAGCAGAGCAATTAAAACTCGATCCATTTGGCTGAGTCGGAGGACACTGAAGACACCAAGATACCAGGCATGAAATGCGATTTTTTTCCTGCTCGTTTCCTCAGCTTGCTGCATTGCGTACCAGTGATGCAGTGAGTATCTGTGGCCCTCTGTGGATCTATTGATCGTTCTGTACTGTATGTGTGTGGGGTTAGGATACGCCTATGTGTGCAAACTAAACACGTAACTATAGTTTTAAGAAGAAAACACCTTATAAAAGATAGAGAAGAATGTTCAGTGGGTTATTCAGTTAATAAAAACCCATTGCTTTACTGCAAATGAAGGAAACATTGAGAGACTGTGATAGCCAGTTAGTGATCTTGACCAGGGGGTCAGATCTGGCTTAAGAAAGATGAAAAGAAGAAGAAAAAGTTGGAAAATAAAAGAAATGGGAAGCAACGATGCCAGAGACCCTGAAGGGAAAGAGAAATAAGCATGAGCTTACAAGTGAATTATTTGCAATGTTAAGCTTAATTATTTTACTCTTTAACTAACATTAGTAAAGAAGTCGTATATCCTGGAATAGCAGGTTCTACCTTTACAACAATTTTATTTTCTAATATTTTTAAATAATATAACATTTTATAGCGCTAAACCTGTAGGGGCTTTTCTCTTCATAAATAAAAAGTGTCACAAATAGTTCTTTAAGGAAGTTCAGAAGGGTGCCATCTCTTTAACAGTGGAGTGAATATAAATCTTCAAAAAATAATTCATCATATGTCTCTTTGCAGAATGCTGGATAATATTCTTTAATTTCCCCCAAATTTAGAATAACCTTTACATTCCAAATAATGCAAGTTTATAAGATGTTGAAATACACAAGTCTGGGAAGAGAAAAAAGCTTTTTTTTCCTTTTATGTATGGTAAGAGTAATTTTATTCCAGGCCACATTTTATTTATACATTAATTTCACTGAAAATTAGCATGTTTCTTAACTTCTTAGCATACTAGTGTTTTATATATGCATACACATTCATTCGGACAGGGCAGTTTGTACTGCTGCCTAACATTATACTAAAATATCACTTTAACCATTTTTAATTACAAGATGCTAACATTTCATTAATTTATAGTTTAAAGACAGTTGAACCAGAGAGCAAGTTTTCTACCTTTAGTAGGTACCACTATAAGTCCTTGTATGAGGAGAAGTTACCAAAACATTAACAAACTATGCTTGGTTTTTAATCAAAGCAATAGGATTAGCAAAATATATGGGTGGTATAAACTATTCAGCTATGTTCTTACTTTGCAATAATGTTACCCCAAATATTGGATTGTTGAATTAACAATGGCTGTGTTAAAGAAGATTAAATAAACTAAAAAAATAAAAAAGCAGTCTACAACATCAGTTTTTGGCAGAAAGATTTTACAACAGGCAAGAGGAATTGATTTTTAAACTCTCCTCTGAATGTAGCAGTAATGTTGATTGCTTCAGTCCTGATTTCTCCTATTAACTCTCCTTCTTTTTTGCCCTCATCTCATTTAGAAACCCAACTCTCATTCTTCAAATTTAACTTTCTTGACATCACTCGGCCAGCTCTGGAGATCATCTGAATTTATTGCAGGAGCTTGATGAATTTGATAGTTCCATCTGCATTTTTATTGAATGGTACCAGACCTGATAGTCCTTTAAATGGTCCTGCAAACATGAGTTTACTGCACTGTACATTCGGTTTATTCATTCTGATATCAGCCTTTGTCTTCCACTGTGCCACAGACTGGGTAGAAACTTAATTTCTCGCCGGGCCCGAAGTATGCCTGCCCGTTTAACCTCTGTGGAGTTGCAGAGGAGTTGCTGTCACTTCTTGCACTGAGGAGCTGGGGCAATCCAGAGCTAATGTTGACCTTCCCTTTTCAAAGCAATGCTTTTTGCATTTGTTCTTATACACGAGCTGCTTGTCGGTGGAAAGCGGCACTCTGGCATCCTTCTACATTTCACTGACAATCACATTTTATTCTGTGTCCCACATTTGAAGCATTAAAATCCTAAGCAATAAAACAGAGAGTTAAAGCCAGATAATTGTCGGGAAGTACATCCTGTAGGGACCAGAGAGAGTGGTAGCTGCGAAGACGGAAGCCATTTATTCTGGGTTACTGTTGAATTATTTGCATACTGGTGAGGCTGCGAACTCCCCAAATTAGATGCCTTCTTCCACCCATCCAATAACCCATTCCTAACTTTATGTGCCTGGAGCTCAAGAACTCAATTAGTTCTCCCCAAAGATCAGTTATACATTAATAGGGACTGAGATCCGTATCTTGGAAATCCAGTTCAGGAGTAAGAAGGATCTATTACCTAGAACACAGATTGCACAGAAATAGGGCAAAAATGTCCATTTTTCTGCATGGCTTATTTTTTAAAAATACACAGATAAATATTTCAACAAGAATATTTCCCTCTTTCCACTTAGGAATCCATATGACTGAATCACTAGCTCTTTTTATATGTGAAAATAAAAAAAAAAACCCTTGCTAAACTCAGTTCTACACAGACCAAAGAATTTTTTGATATTTATTTTATGATGAAAGCCCCAAAATACTTCTGCTTTCAGCAGTGCCCATCTAAAGAGCAAAGTTTGAGCCTCGCGTGGTTCAGCCAGCCCCGCTGCTAGTGTAAGTAGAGGTTACAGGGAAAGTTATTTCCAACATTAAGATACTAATGCCTGAGGCTCATTAATTCCTGTTCCAAAGTTTGTTTACTGCCCTGCAGCCCAATTCAAAGTGATTTTCTATTGGAGATTGGGAGTCTGAAGAATGGAGGTGCAGGCAACAATCATTATTAAGAGTTCCATAGCAACCACCCGTCTTTCCCTGAATAACAAGACTCTAACATGGAAAAACAAGTCGCCGATGAAACTGGCATTGTGACCTTTGTATTCTGCTTGATCTGGGTGTCTACATAAAGTCTTCTGCAGCCGGGAACTCATTCCTAAAGGGAACAGTCAGTAACATACTATTACAGAGATTTTCTTATTTTTTATTTTAACCATTGCTTTATCTTGCAGTATTGGAAACTCTAAAAGCATTTTTAACTCTCCATATGTACTGCCTCAATTAAGAAGTCGTGCCAGGGGCAGGGGATTTAGCTCAGCGGCATAAGTACCTGCCTTGCAAGCAGGCGGTTGTGAGTTCGATCCCTGGTACTGATTAAAAAAAAAAGAAGAAGAAGAAGTCGTGCCATCAGGAAAACAACTTGATGTTCATACATTTATATACTTTGCACTATAAAAATTGACCTGTTAAATATTTATGGAGCAAAGCAATCTTTAGTTCCTCCTATTTGTTGAATTTCTTACTGTTCGAAGCAGTAAGACAAACGTAAGAAGACAAAGGAACCCATATTTTGGGCTGGATCCTTTGACTCCAATAGTCAGTAATATTATGTATATGCCCAAACATTATCTCATTTAACCATACAGAATCCTATTAGGAAAATACTATCTGTACTTCACCCCAGTGAGTAGGAACCTGAGACTTTTGAAATTCATTTACTCCGACCAGTAAGATAGAGGAGGGATAGACTACAGAGATCTTACTGCTCTTAGTTCTGCTCATGTAATATTTTAAATAGAGCCTTTCCTCTTGGTATCCACTGGAGATGGTTCCAGCAACTCATATCAGTAAAAGACATGCCGCCATTAATGTACCTCAAAATACTTTGAACACTCACCCTACTGTTCTCACAGTCCACAGCAGGGCCGGAAGTCCTCTCTTACGATGTCATTGCTTGCACAGTGATGGCCACCTCAGTCCTGACTCAATTCCAACACTTACTTTTCCTGGTCATTCTGACCTTGGATGAAAGCCAGAAGTCACACAGTGCTAGATGGGGGTGCAGGGCACCGTGTCCCAATGACAATGACTTTATTTAAGCACACACTGCTGTTGCCGAGCCTTGTGCCGCAGTTAACTGTGCACACTCCTATGACATCCTATGTGCTCTGAGTCTCTTTAGGTTACCTAGCACGTCTCATGCAATGTGGGTGCTGCGCATGTAAGTGTTTTACTGTGACACTTAGGGAATGATGATGAGAAACAAGGTCTCCACATGTTCGATTCCAATGTGACTGTTTTTCTACATAGCTTTAATCCACAGTTGGTTGGACCCACAGATTTAGAATCGTGAATTCGGAAGGCCAGTTGTGTTTGTCCTGTGAAAGTCACAGAGGAAAGTGACTTGCCCAAGTTCATGAATCTCAAAAGTGACAAAGCCGTTGTTTGATACCAGTTTGATACCCATTCACACAAAGGGACTTCTAATTATTTTATGACTCTCCCGGGTTGTGAATGACCTGATAAGCTCCCAGATGGCATAATATTAACTTTACTTTATCTCCTCTTAGAGTCACCTGCCACTGCACTGTGGGAATGATTTTGATTGTCTTTGCGATGCTTAAAAGAAACAGCTCAAGCTTCTTGACAAGCTGCAGAGAAACTATTTTTCAGGTCTGGGAAGGCCACCAAGGGGCTCCTGGGCTCTTTGGTATCATCCATTACCAGGGGCTACAGGGCTCACTTTGGGACAGGGTTTAATAAGAGCAAGCTGTCAACAAACATAGATACTGGAATCAGCTCATTCCAAGACGACTCGTGAGGTCTGCCTCCAAACTCTTTGTGTTAAAGGAGTCATAGCCCTGTGTCATCCAGAGAAATTGCCACATTCTGCTAGAATAAGTCCTCGCATGGATTGATGACAACAGGACATGACAAGTCAGCATGGGGAAGCACTGGGAGGGGGGTCCGGGGATTGGGGGTTGGGGAGTGGAAGGAGCTGTGGGGATAGAGACTTAGCTTATGGACGTAATTCCTGCAGGATGGGTGACTTTCTTCTCAGGGAAAAGAGAAGCTGGGTCAAAGAGATGCTCCTGTCTCTCTGTGTGGACAAGAAATCAAAGAAAACCCTCCAGGTCAGCCCCCAGTCATCAAGAGCTACACCACAGGCAGCTGGCTCCCTCCAAAGCTTTGGCAGTGGTCACGATCTGAATGCCTGAAGGGCTCATCATGAGGAAAGTGGCTAAAGGAGGGACTAGTGACTGCGGAAAGAGGCACATAGAGCTGGGCTGAATCCTTACAAGTAGAGAAGCCTTCAGACCCATCCGCCCGGAGACAGTGCCTTTTCCTAACCCAGTGAAGGGAAGGTACGTCCTGGAGGTGACCCTGGAAATGTGCTGCCCAAGTCTCATTGCCATGTGGGAAACTAGGCCAGGTATTGCCAAGTGTTAGACTTCCTTTAAAAAGAGCCAAAATTCGGATTCATTTTTACATGAAAATCTCCTGGCTTTTGTCTGGCAACCAAGTTGAATCATTTTAAACACCGTGCAAGGGAAATGTAAATGTCTGGCTAGTGGATGGGGGGTCCAGGCTGGGACCATCAGTTTCTGACCCCTGCTTATGGAGGTAGAACCTCTGGGGTTCTCCTTCCCCTCCTGGAACCATGGATGGAGGCAGAGAAAGCTAGGAATAGGATTGGATTCGCTTTAAGACAAAAGCACAAAAAGCCTTCTTTGGGGAGTATAAAATGTCAAAGTGCCCCAGCCAGCACTTAAATTCCTTCTTGCTTAGCACGTTGCTGAAAAGATTGTCATTAATGCTGCACTGTGAATGCACAGGGACAGTGGTCCATCACACGGGGAGGTGGCTTCCTGTTCTCCAGTGAGGAAGTGCCCTCCCTTGTCACTGACTCTGCTAGACACCGAGGGTACTGCGGTGCCATGTCAGAAGGATTGGGATGCTCGGTTTACTGAGCACAGGCAGTGACTCTACCATTTTTGTGTTTGAAAACTATCTATTCCTATCGATAACTTGGAGGATCCATGAGTGAGAAAAATCAAGTCAGAATTCGGCTCTGCCGTCCACCCTGGCAAAATCGCCAGTCAGCACTCCCACCCTTCAGCTCTTCACTGTTGGTAATAAGACACAAAAGAGAAAGAACACGGCTCAGTTTTTTGGTTGCTAAATTGAGCCTTCAGAGCTCAGAGTTGGGGAGAGACATGGATACAGATTTAGCGTGGGGTCAAGGTGTCCTTTGTTAAGGAGAAGCTTTGTGCTTTCAGCCACTTGGAGTTCTAAGGCGGGATGAGGATTCGTTATCTCTGAGGTTCACTGCATTTATTGTCTCCACGGCCCTAATGCCATGCATGTTCTAATGAGTGAATCCTTCTTTGCAAAATTGCATCTCCTCAGGGCTTTAAATCAATAATTTTAAATCTCTATATGCAATCAAAGGAAGCCATCCCACCTGTAGGATGAATGGATGGATGGAGACGTGGGATTGCCCCTGAAATCAACCACAGAAAGAGAGAACGGGATGCTTTGGGTACAATTTCACTACA